TAAGAGAAAAAATAAAGTAATTTTTTCATATTTTTCAGTTTGGGATTGAAATAAATTTTTTGTAGCTAGTATGGATTAAATTGGCTGACTTTTATCAGAAGAAACAAATTTGCACGGTTTTAGTCTGGGAAGAATTTTCTGATAATTTTTTGAAAACTTCCCTAGTCTCACAATTTTCATACAATTCAAATATAGACTGGCTTATGCTGTGCTATTTGTAGAAGTAATTAAGCATGTGTCTTTTAAAAGCAAAACTCCTCACTTTATGACGTGAGAAAAGTTGTAAGTAAAAGAGCAGCATAGTTACACTAATATGCCATTGTGGCATGTTCCCATCCTGTCATCTGGAAAATTAAATCAGGTTCCAGCATGGATTAACATCCAGACTTGTGTGGAGGGGAAGGTACTGTCTTAAATGCCATGAAATTGAACAATGGGATTATACAGTTCACAGCTAATTTCAATATTCTGCTGTACTTGGCTGTTTTTTGAACAAGATTCTGTATGGAGAGGCGTGGGTAGCCTTTAAAACTTGGAAACATTCACATATTTAATGAAATACTAACAGTAATAGCTGGAATATGGTCGAGTAATTAATGCAGTGCTCTACGTAATGCGCACAGATGTGATGTGGAATCTCCGCTTCCAGAGGAGAAAAACTGGGTGTGTTATCCATGAGAACTGCAAACTGCACTCACCCAGTGTGGAATCAGTGCTGTGTTACCCTTTGGTGAGTCTGGAAATGCTGCTGTGACCATGCAGAAAAGCCTTGCTCTGCTGCCCCTGAGAACGAGCTCAGGCTTTGCTCACCCCTTTCTGAAATAACCCTCATGTTGTTCCTGTGGGAGGTGATTCAGCCACTTCCCTCGGAAGCACCTCTTAAAATAGTTGTAAGGAAAACTGCTGCAGAAATAGCCACCTAACCTATTTCACATGGGGTTTTCCAACCCGTTCCTCCCGGGGACAGGCTGTCCCTAGTGAGTAACAAGGGATGCTGGAGCTCCAGGTCCTTGGCCAGCTGAGATTTTGTGGCAGCAGCTGCTTTGGATGGAGCTGTATCCTCTGGGAAGAGAGCTTCCAATGGTGCATGTCAGCTTGGTAAGTGAGCCCACACTGGTTTCACTGAGGTCACTCATGGATCTTAGGAAATTGATACAACATGCCATTGGTTAACAAGCTTTTTAAACCTGAATGTAAGCATTAGGAATAAGATTGACTTTTTTTTGTTGGTACCAGCAGTATGTGACATGTATTTCATTGCACTTGTGCCCTTACAGTAGAGGAGGTTGCAGATAGGATGGTGTACTTTAGCTTTTTTTTTTTTTTAATATTATTGCTTGTATTCTTTCTGCTTTATACTTGCAACTTACAGTTTCCAGTGCTGTATATCAGCATGTATTTATATTCATGGATGGCTGCTTTCAAGGAAGTTTGTGGACACTTGCTTTAGGCATAAACTATGTGGATCTTGTCATCTTTGTGAGCTGAAACTACAAAACCAGTTGTAATGAAAGATAAACAAGAGATACTAGGTTACCAACAACAGAAAAGTTTAGCATGTAGCAGCACAACCTGAATTCTTGTTCTGGGGTTTGGGACAAGTTCAGTTTGAGAAGCATCTCCATAATTCCTGTGACTTTCCTTTTGAGGGTTTACTTGCACTGTGTTTGTTCCTGGTTCACAAGGTCTCCTCCTGCTCTCAGCTGAGCTTTCAGAGCTCTGTTAAGCTCTAGGTGACTGCAAAGCTTCAGCTCAGTGCTTTGCTGTAGCTGGGCAGGAGGTTGGTTGGGATTTCAGCCTGGCTCTTCCCTTGTTCTGATGTCAGCAAATAGATTCCACTCTCCTGAACTTGAAAAAAAGTATTTTACATATGTTTACTTTGCATCATTTCACTCGAAAGCCTGTTAAGTACCTGGAATAAGAGCGTTCCCTATGTTTTGAGTTGCAAAGGGCTTTCTTTACTGTCTGCAGCTACAATGGAGCTGCATCTAACTGTTTGCATGCACTGTGCTAAACAAATTACTGTGAGTAAAAGTGTTTGAAGTTCCCAAGTTACTTTAGTTTTACAGGCAGAATTGACAGTCAGTTCTGTTCATGTGTTTACCAAGTATTTCACGGGAGTACTGAAACAGTTTTCACTGATACTTGTGGTGCTGATTGAAGCTGAATCCTGCCTGGGTGGTGGCTTGGCCTGTATCTGTTTGACTGTTTTCTCTTGTTCAGAATAATTCAGATATCATGTCTGTCATGATTTTTGGGTGACTTGTGCTTATCCCTTCAGGGGAGAGCCTGGCTGTACTGAGTAATACAATAGCAGTGTTTGGTTTAGAGATATTATATTTCATAAAGTTGGGTGTCTTGAGGGCCACTATTGTATGGATCTATGGCAGTCCTCTTGGTGTAGTGAGGGTGGTCCAGCTTCCTCAAAGTTCATGGCATGACCATGTAGAATTTAAATATACTTCTATCATGTATACATGTCTAGGTAAGTATAGTTGAAAACAGCTTTCAAATGCATGTTGGGTTAACAGTGAAGAAGGGATGCACTGATGAAAGCTGTAAGATGTGAAAGAGTTTACTTTTCCCTGTGACCAATGTAGTGTTTTCCAAATAAAGATACTGACAGTTTAGTAAATACTCCTAGACCATTTAAAAGGTGAAGTGATGGAGCTGACTGCCAGGCATAACTTAGAGTGATTTTCTTATGTGTAGGGTTCCAGTTTGTCTGGAGTAGCCATCCTGATGCTGTTATGAGATGTCATCCCAAGTGGCTGGTGCACAAGCTGTATCCCTGTGACACACAGGGAATTCCCTCAGGTGGGACTTAGAGGCACTAACAGGGATGTGTTTGCTCAGGGAGAGTTCAGCTGCCATGAATGCTGCAGTCTCACAAAGCCCTGCACAGACCTCTGCCTCTGGACCAGCAGCTGAGATGGGGCTCTCAGGCTTCACAGAAATACACTCCAGTAGGTTTTTCTGGGCTGTCCTTCATGGCAGGGAGCTCCAGGAACACAGAAGGGCTTTCAAGATGCAAAGAAAACAGAAAAAGTACATGTTTACACAAACACCTACCCACCCACCCAACTACTTTGTATGGCTAATCTGTTTTGTTGGATTTTTCAAGAATGAGAATGTGGTTTGCCATCTATGGACAGATGTGTTCAAAGCAAACACACTTTGAATTTATGTCAAATGGAGTTCTTCATTCCCCTAAAAAAATGGTAAATGATACAATGTTCTGTGTGGCGGTATGTGTATATATATATATATATATATATATATATATATATATATATTTATATTAAGTTTGAGGGCAATGGATCAATAGAAGAGGTGGAGGGAATGTAGGTATCATGTTCAGACACCATTACAGATGTCTGCAGCAGTACAGATTTATTTCTTTCACTGATTTGGGCTATTTTTCTGTAAAAGTCTGAAATCTTGCCCTCCGATAATCATTTTCAAAATTATTTTGAAATATGCATCTCAATAAATGTGGCATAGTTTCATTTTAGCCCTGATTCTGTACTTGCTGTGCTGAAGTATGGAGCCATACTGTCCTGTTAATTGCTAACTGTGTGCAGAGGGGGCCCATGCCAGCACAGCTGGCCACATCTTTTTGTGTGTTTGGACACTTTGCTCGCTTGTCTGCGTGCAGACTGAAGAATTTTCAAAGTAAGGCTTTAAAAGGAGATCCTTTGCTCTCTGTTTCTGATTTGTTGTGGTAATGTAGATGGGTTTGCTGATATGTGTATGTACAGTGTGATATATTGTATGTGCATCATGGTGAAATGTGAAGAGCAAGCATCTCGCTGTCTGGAAAATGTGAAGCTGGGAAGTTTATAAAGCCCAGGCTGTTGGGTTTCTCATGTGGAAAGAGTACACCTGGAAAAGGAGTTTGCACCTGCTGGCAGCGGAGTCACCATGGGCGAGCTCCTGACTCGATCGCTCTCTGCCCGTGCCACCCCTCGCTCCTGCCCACGCTGACCTGCAGCACCAAACCCAGCCTGGCACCCAAGGGCAAAGCTGCCAGGATACAGCTGATACAAATGATACTGCTCATTTGTTCATGCGTTGCTCTTGATTTTGAACTCTTGCCTGATTGTTATATGGTTTGGTTTTTCGTAATTAAAAAATTATCTTTGTAGAATGGAATGTGGCCTTCTCCGATGTATTCCTTTGAAAAATGGATGGCTTTGAAGAGATTTGTTTTAAATAGGTTGTCGTATAAATAATTTCAATCATGATATTCTGTTGTTTTATGAACATCTCTAATTAAATTTAAGATAACTTCTCAGGGAATACTACCATATTATTTATTCTGACAGCCAAAGGAATAAGCACGTTGCATCAGTCTTGAATGCTTGCTACTCTGAAGTGTTTCACACTTGTTTTCCTGATGAGAGAGGTTCCAGAGCTGTGCTAATTGCCTCTTTTAAATTCTGGATAAATATTTTGGGGTTTTTAGGGACCATACCTTAACATAAGTATAAAGTAATGTTGAGGGATTTTTTAACTGGTATCACTGAAAACTGTCTATGGAGATAAATTAGCACAGTGCCTGGAGCTGGCAAAACTGGTTATCTAATTTTGACCAAAATGAAGTGTATTGGGTAACCACTTCCTGGTGACAAGCCCAGGTGGCAAATTGCAGCCAGAAGGATGTTACCCAAGGACCAGCTTAAAGTTCAGTCTAGCACCAGGGCTTCTCTTAAAAAGTAATTTATATTTCTATACATATATATGTGTGTATGTACACACACATTTTTGGTTTCATGTGTTTTGTGTGTGTTTTATGTACAGTTTTTTTTCTGTCTGGAGGAGGGTAAAGGGAGAGCCTTGAAAAGTCCTTCCCTGCTCTTATCAGCATAGCAGCCTCAGCTGCCCTCCTTGGATCCCCTGCCAGGGTTGCTATCATCTTCTGATCAAATATTAATGTGTGATTCTCTGCTTGCTCACTAATCCAAAGCCAATTAATATTATCTGTCAATTATTTACAGATCCTGAGGTGCGGAGGCAATTCCCAGAGGGCTACAGTGACCAG